CTAAATCTGAAACTTCTCATGCCTCTGCCAAAGAAAATATTGTAATCACCAAGAAACATAAAACCACACCAGCCCATGTCTTCTCATTATCAGAACTAGAGAACATACAAATTTTAAATTACTGTAAGTAGAAAAATAAACATCAGATACCCACAGAACTGYTGTAAGCCTGTGTGCCTGGGGATGATGACAGAAGAAAGAGAGGAAGAAAGGTCACCCAGAATGAGAAAATCCAGTACCACATGGTGAACACTGATCACAGGTGCCAGGATCCAAGTGCTGGCTGTAAGGCAGGGCTCAAAAATGTGCAATCCTCAGGCAGAGTCTCAGGAGTGTCATATGTCTGGGAAGAAGGAGGTAAAGAGCAAAGAAGATGGACAACTTGGAGATGTGCTTGTGAAGGGAAAAAAGAAGAAGGGAAATTTCAAATGCTTTCAAAGAGAATATAAGACCCACCAACCACAATCATAGTCCATTGAAGAGGTCAAAACAAGGATAGGGACAAAGGTGTAAGAATCCTATGTGAAAATCTATATGTTCTGATAGAACAGAGAGAATGCAACTAAATCAGGGTAAGAAAAAGAAGAGTAATTACATTACAAATGTGATGAAGGCGGGAGTCAAAGGACATGATTTTAACTTGACAGTGACAAAGCAAGATTAGAAAAAGGAGCGGAGATGAAAGTAAAATACAAGAGTTAAACAGGAATGGGTAGAAGATTGTGGGAAATTTCACTGACTATGTCTCTCAATGTAGCTTTTATTTTCAGAATCATGTTAATGTTTTACACATTCAAAACAATAAAATGAAGTCAAGAAGAGGGGAAATTAAATTTGGATATTATTGGAAACCAATGAGCCAAACAGAATTTCAAATGAGTAACATAACCATTCTAATGATGAAGGTAGAGAACCAGCCTAGTATCTTCTGAACACAGGGTTTTTGTTACATACCTTCTTGTGGAAGAAAAGCAAACAGCAAGCTCTTCTTGGTACTGTTTTTTTTTTTTTTCTTTTGTAGCATAATAGGTTTGTATGCATGGTGGGAAGGGACAGCCCAGGAAATGCAATGATATTGGGAGCCCTGGTTCTCACCATATAATCAAGAAGATGCTGATATGAAAAGGGGAAGGCAAGGATGCAGGGAGAATTCTGTGGGCGGAAGGTGAAAGATGTGCTTCCACTGGAAACAACTAGAAGCCGTGCTCCTTCATTGGCAATTGTGTTCACACTCAGATTGTGGCTTTGAAATTTCATTTTYCCAATTCAAATGAAGTAGGATTCCTTGGAGACATGGCCTATTTCAGGAACAGTGCAATGAAAAGGCAAGAATATCTAGAAAGGGTCTAGAATATCTCTCAGTGACAGAAAATAAAGTGTTTTTAAAATAATGGTTACCTGTCAACATCAAGTCCAGCTTAAAGGGGCTTGCCTGCCCAAAGCTGGGGCAATTTGAGCACCAAAAGTAATATTGACCATAATGACTTGTGACTGAATAATACATAAATTTTATGTGTACATACTGATAAACAGGAATTATACTTATGTTCGAATACAAATTCCTAAGTGTACTGTAGTCTTCCTTATCCACAGGTTCATTTTCCACAGTTTCAGTTACCCTCCATAGACTGTGGTAGGGAAATATTAAGTAGKAAATTCCATAAATAAATAATTCATACTTTTTAAACCATTCAAAGTTACGTGATGAAGTCTCACACCACCCTGCCTCAGTAGCAAAAGCCTTCCTTTGTCCAGCATATCCACGCCTTAWGTGCTACCCACCCATTGGTCACTTGGGAGCTGTCATGCCTGTCAGATCAACAGTTGCAGTAACACAGTGGTTGTTATGATGTAGCCCTTATATGACTTCATGTGGACCCCAATGTGCAAGAGTAGTGATGCTGGTAATTTTTTATAGTGTATTGTTATAGTTGTTCTATTCTATTCTTAGAGATTTTATTAATCTTTAACTGTACTTACTTTATAAATTAAAATTTAGCATAGACATTCATACGTAAGAAAAACATAGTATTTAATAATTCATCATTTAATAACAAGAATGCATTGTGAGAAATGTGTCATTTTACTGTTGTGGAAACAGTACACTTACATAAGCTAAGACATGATGTCACTTCATGATATAACCTATGGGACCACTGTCATATAGGTGACCCATCATGACCAAAATATCATTATGCAGTGCAGACTGTATATAGGTTCAGCACTAACCTCAGTTTTAGGGGCCCATTGGAGTTCTTGAAATGTATCCCCCACAATGAGGGTGACTACTGTTGAAATCACCATTTGCAGCTAAAGTAATAGTTAACTCAGGTAAGAAGTACTTATTGATGGTTGCTAAAATAGGTGAAATTTTGGTGAGCAATAGGATTTTTTTTTTAAGTTTTAAAAGTATTTCTTATGTATTCACTATATTTCTGGAACTGGAATCTAGGGACATAGTAAATGGAAGCAGGACTTGCCTTCATGGAGCTTATAATCTTTTGATCATATTAAACATTACTGATTTTTTTAAATGAAAACAAATATAGAGGGGAAAATACAGAGTCTTTGTAAGAGAAAAAGAATATAAATATCATGAACCAGGACCTCTTTCATGGACAGGTCTGTGGGAAACCATGTATGAATTATGGGTTTGTTTGCACCATCATAAGGCTGGGAGGTTGCTTTTCTGGGAACTTCTGGGTGAAATTCCCCCAATGGAGAAAGTCCAGGTCATGCTGGCGCCCTGCCTTAGCTCATAGCCCTAAGTTGAMATGCAGCCACCTGGAGATGGGCATAACCTGCCAAGCCCCAACTTGTTTTCCCTATTTTCATCCTGAAGAAGCTCCTCACTGAATCCTTTTGGTGTGTCTCACTAGAAATAAAGCATTCACAGGCTTTTCCCTTTATTAGGATCAGACTCATCAGGTCTCTTTCCGCCTGTCAATGCCCCTGCTTTGAAAAACACACTGTGCTCTCTACACACTGCTCTCTACATCCTGCTTGTGTGTGTGTGTGTGTGTGTGTGTGTGTGACTGCTTTTTTGTTTAAATATATATATATATATATATATATACACACATATACATATATATATAAATATATATATTTCAAATTTATTCTGATCATGTTATACATGATGGCAGAATGCTCTTGGGTTCATTTTACACAAATGGAGCACAATTTTTCACTTCTCTGGTTTCACACAAAGTAGGGTCACACCATTCGTGCCATCATACATGTACTTAAGGTAATGATGTCTGTCTCATTCCACCATCTTTCCTGCAATATGATATTTTTATAACCTCAAAATATCTCCATCAAAATTGCTTATTAGTTATAAGAGGGGAAATGGTGATTTTATGGAGCAGAGGTTTGGCTGACTTGGTAATGAAAGTCAACATGTCCAGTAATGGAATGTATGGCTCACATTGGACTGATATGATGCATGCGGAAGGACCCAGCATCAGACAGGTCACTGTTCCTGCCATGTGTGCATGAGGACACTTCAGACAATCCCAAATTAAGGGACTTTGTACACAATAACTGACCTCTACTCCGAAAGGAAAGGAAGAGGAAGGAAGGAAAAGAGCAACATGAAAAACATAGGAATTGCTTCCAATTAAAGGATACTGGATAAATGACGATGACATTAGAATACAAAGCATGATTGTGGATAGCATTATAGACTAGGAAAAAGTGCCATAAAGGACATGTTGGGACAAGTGATGAAACTGGAATATGGACTGTGTGTTAGATTGTTGTGCTCTATTAATGTTGTGTTTCCTTAAATCAACGCCTAGACTATGATCGTGCAAGAGAATGTCTTTGTTATTCAGAAGTACACAGAAGTGTTCGGGGGTAAAGGCTGTCATTTCTGCAACCTATTTTCAAGGTCCAGGGAAAAAAATGAAAGGGAAAGAGAATGATATAGCAGAGGTGGCAAAAGGTTAATGATTAGTGAATCTGACAAAATGTGTGTGGGAGTTCTTTATACTGTTCCTGTAAATCATAAGTTTGGAATTATCATCTCCAAATGTAAAAGAAAATGGATACAGAGAAGTTATGAAAGAAAAATGTTAATCTATGTCCATCTAAAAACACACTGTGCTTTCTACACACTGACTCAGAGCACCACTGCCAAATGCAAGGGAAGAGACGGGTAGAGCTGTTTTTTTGAGAGGTGACTAGGTGATCATTGTCACAGCTCTGGGCAGGGGTGACTTGCACAGTTCAGGGTGCAAACAGGACCACGCTGGCCACACTGGAACCAGGTCCTCAGACATGGAGGGCAGCTCTCATGCCACCATTTCACACTCCTTCTAAAAGATCTGCTTTTCCAGATCACGTCTCCCCTTCTTGCTCTTCCACACAGTTCTGTAGTCACCACGCTCAACATTCACATACCCACGTGGCCCTGTGGAGCATGAAAGCAGTAATTAGAAGAAGAAGGGTGGGAAGAGGGAGGCTTAAGCCAAGTTCAAGTCTTCCATTTCTCATTGTCTTTGGATATTCAAATGTCAATGAATAACAGTGAAAATAACATGTTTAGTTAGCATTTCAGAGTTCGGCTTTTGTTCATGACTTTACCTGAGATTCTTTTCTGTGGCCTCAACAAATATGAGCCTGTGAGATTGTGACAGGTCTTAATGAAGTAGATTAAGGCATTTCTTAACATTCACATTTTCCTTGAATGAGATAAACATTGTAATCTTTCTATGGAACACTCTCACATCAAGCCATGGTTTGATTTTTCTACCTGTTTGGAATATCAAATTTTGCATTTCCTAAAATTATAATGTATTTTTTGTGAGAGAGTTGATAAGGCAGAAGTCATTCCTGAGATATTTATAATAGTACTTAGAGCGAACTTGTCATAGGTACTTCTAAAAGATTATTTGGGATCCTGAAGAGATATATTTAGTAAATGTATTGAATGAGTTGTCACACAACAGAGCATTTCATTGATTCATTTGTGTTATTTTTGTACCTGACTGCAGGCGGAGAATTCAGCCTTGGCTTTGGAAAATGAAAATCAAAGAGAACAGTATGAGCGATGTCTGGATGAGGTAAGGTGAATAGAGAGGTCCATCATATGGGCTGGTCAGAGCCTCATAATCAGATCTTAGTGTATGCTTATCACCAGCATCCAAAGAACCTTAGCATTTGCTGCTCCAAAGGGAAGTTGTAAACTTGTAAGAAGGAAGATCAGCAGTGTGTGTGTGTGTGTGTGTGTGTGTCCCCTTCTCTTTTCCTCTCTTCCCCCCTCCATTCTTTTTTTTCTTTTTCTTTTTTTTTTTTTTTTAGTTGTAGATGGACGCAGTAGCTTTGTTTTATTTATTTATTTTTTTATGTGTGCTGAGGAGTGAACCCAGTAGCTCAAGCATGGGAGGCAAGCACTCAACCACTGAGCCACAACACCAGCCCCCTCCCTCTATTCTTATTTACAAATACAGGCATCTGTAAATTCCTTCTGGTTATTACTTAATATTCTTAGGGCACAGTTGGAGTGTGCTTCCCTGTGTGATCAATTCCTTCTGTCCAATAAGTGTGATCCCTGCCTATGAATGAGAAAAATGACACTGGGGCACATTGCATCTGCAATTGGATGCCATCCCTGAAAAAAACAAACAAACAAACAAACAAACAGATCCTTGATAGAGTAGGTGGGACGATGTTCACAGTTGGCAGCCAGAGGGAAAAAATCAGTAGATTGAGCACAAGCCAAAAAAGAGAAAGGGAAGCGAGGAAGAAAACTTGAGCAGAATGGAAGGAGACAGGGCCACATGCATGAGTAAACTCAATAAATATTATTTGATGATAATAAAGAGATGAAGACAGAGACTTGGGTGTTTGGGTTTGGGGCAGGTAAGGGGGAAGCCAGTAGTGTGCCTCGCCCTGTCCTCCCCTCAGCCTTCCACCTCACTGCCAACCAGTCATCCTGCTGGAGATGCCCGCTGTGGCTTCCTGCTGGGACAGGCCTTTCCCCTCATTGGAAATATCGCCTCTGAGACTTACTAGTGATTGCCGGCATCACTTAAATGAGAGGACTTCTTTAGGCATCTGCCCAACATCCTAAAACTCATGAGTGCTCTGGGAGATTCAGTTTGAGATTCATTGAACAGATTTTTTGAAAAGCTATACTTAATTACGTTTCTATTACTCTGCCAGTGGGAATTACCAAAATATTGTCAGTCCTTTTTCTCCCTACTAACAAATAGGAAATACGTTTCCAACAAGTTCCTCTTGATGTTTCTTGCCCATTTCCATCGCCCTCTCTTCAGCCATGCTGTTCTAGTGGCTGATGTGCGAGACTGTAAAGCATGCTTTCTCCCATCCCAGCTGTGACACCCACTGTGTCACCATATAGTTCTTTAGAGTCTGTCTCTGTCCTCAGTGTACAGGTCACACTTGGGGTTTTCCTGCAGCACTTTTTCTTGGAACGTGATTTCTGGAGGGGCAACATCCACCTCCCAGGGACCTTGTTAGGAAGGCCAACTCTCGGGTGCCACTGAGACTCACAGAATCAGACTTGGGGTGAGCCCGTCATCCGTGTGTCACCAGACTCTCCAGTCCGTGCTGGTGCCTGCTGCACTGGGAGCCCTGCCTGAGAACAGTCTGATTTGTATTTTTTTGCTTATATGCGATTAGAGAACTCCCAAGATGTCCCCAGAAAAAAAGATTAATATTCAATATTTTCATTGCGTTATATTTCCAGCCAAATACATTGGTTATTAAAGCAATATGGTGTTTGTAATTTTCTGCCCTGTCAGGAGCAGAATAATCTTTACAATGTCCAGAGTTAAAAGAATCATGAAAAGTTGGTTGACATAAAAGAAGGCATAAAGGCTCAGGGTTTAGGGAGGCCAGTTCAGCAGCCCTCACCCCTGCTCCCCAGCCTCTTGGTCGAATCAAAGTTTAGGGCAAGAAAGATCAAATAGATCTATGGGTGTTTAAAGGAACCAATAATGCCCTTGGGTCATACGCATTGATCAGCAAAGTTTCACTTTAACCTCCTGCACAGAAATTTCCAATGAGACTTTATCTGTACTCAAAAGTCAAATTTATGAGACTCACATCACAGAAACTTTTTATGTGTCACAGTTCTTTCCCAGGTCACCCCTCTCCATCTATCAAAAAGCTCACAGCATKTCTCTTTGGAAACCACGGTCTGGTTTCTATGGGTTTCCCATGTCTGTGTGTTCTGAAGGTCTTGTCAGAATTTGTCGGGAGAAACATAAGTTTTTACCCACAAAACCATTTCATAGAGTTTCCACTGTGGGCAGAATTTTCAAAGGGGAAGTCCCTCTGTTCTTAATTGCAAAAATTAACAGTTGCCAAAGAGGTGATTACAACAAAGAACTACCTCTGAGCAATGCAAATGTTTTGTATTCACAAAAACTGGCCCCTGATTACACATGCCAGTTGTTTTGTAACTAATTGCATGAGGTAGACAATCCATTTCTGTGCATTGTAAGAGAATGCTCTCAAAGGGGTAGTTCAATGTAGTAATAATGCCAACTGGAAATTCTGTTCAAGACTTTTTATACTAATTAGACAAACTAACAAGGTAAGGCTCATGTAAGTTATTTCCTTGCTGGTAGGTTTCATAAAACATACTCAGGTGAATAACATRCAAATTTTAATGTTCCTCAATCCTATCTGCATTGATTGTTATTTTCTGGGAAACAGAGAATATATTGAGGATTTGGGGAAAAAACACCAAGAGTCTGAAATTCTTTCTGTGTTTTCTACTCAAAGAGGGTGTTTACTCAAAAATAAAGAGACCCACATGCATAGATACGCACAGCTACATATTCCCTGGTTTGATAGGTGTATGCACACGCCCACAAGTGCACATGCACACACACACACACACACACACACACACACACACACACACACACACACCCTTCACCATCACCTCCACTGCTATCCATCTCATCACTTCCTTGATGGGAAGTACAGAGGTAAAATCAAGGATTCATTTCATTTTTCCTTAGGATTTTAGAGTTCTCCATGTTTGAATCTAGTTTATTAGGCTGCCTGTTTGACAGGCAGTTCACTGGCTATTGGTGAATTGCTATTTATTCATAGTATTGCTTTGGCCATAATTCCATTCAGAACAACTATTCCCATGTACAGAAGTGTAATGGCATGTATATAATAAGTAAAATTATACCTGTTAAGAACACTGCATTTCATTTAGATGGCCTGAGTTGTGACCTACCAACCTTTACTGGGTGTTGACCTCATGCAGGCCCAAACTAGCAGAAGTAGGAAAATGCAGAATCACAAAGAAAAGGGCCAAGAGAAACTCAGAGCAAATGAGCTGCAAAGGAGACTTCAGGAACAGATGGCTCAGGCACCAGAGGATGCGGGGAGGAGCAGGTGGGTGGGTGGTGAAGGGGACAGAATTGGAGAGGGCATCTTCAGCAGAGGAGCTGGATGGAGCCCATGAGGTTGAGTTTCACATGTGGGAAGGCAAGTGGCACTCACCCCTGTACATGTTGGCCATGCTTGGGGAGCTTCAGAAGTGCTTTTGGTGAGGCTGCACCCCTGAGATTCTGATCAGATTCTTGCCTGGGATACAGTCTTGCCTGGGATAGAGCCTTGAAATTGGAAGCACTGACCTATGCAGAAGTTTTGGGTTATTCTGAGTTAATAATGCAAAGCTCTGAACCAAAAATAAACACTACCACCAGGTGTGGTGGTACATGCCTATAACCCCAAAACTCAAGAGGCTGAGACAGGAGGATTACAAGTTTTAGGCCAGCCTCAGCAACTTGGTGTGAGACTCTGTTTCAAAATTAAAAAAAAAAAAAAGCTGAGATATGGCTTAGTGGTAAAGTGCCCCTGGGTTAAATCCCTAGTGCCAACAATAAATAAWCTCTATCCCAGCATTTCTCAAAGTTTGTTCCTAGGACCTTCTGCATCAGAAAGATGAGTGGTAAAATTTTGCATTCTCAGACCTGGGCCAGTTCTTTGCAGTCAATATGCTATGTTGGGAGAGGAAATTTGCAGTATTCAAAAACTTTCCAGGTGATGGAGCTTCTGCCTATGAATTCAGAGCAGCTGCCCTCCCCTTCAGACCCTCAGAGCTGGGCCCCAGTCCATAGAGCCAGAGAGGATGCTGAGGTCAGGTTCTTCTTCAACTTCTCTATTTCAAAGCACAGGAAAGGGCAAGAAAAATGAGACTATTGAATATCATTCTGAAATAGAAAAAAAATAATGCCAGAATATATTTTAGGCCAACACTCAATAAAGACAGAAGTACATTAAGAACATCTCTCTGCCATGTCTCTGATCCATATGCTTAGGCTGGATTGTGGAATCATTACCAGGACGTTCTCATGCATATCCCACATCTGRCCCCTATATAGTCTTTAAAACCCGTGTCTTAGTGGATACAGTCTTGTAGATGGACGAGGATCCTGCTCGTGGCTTTCATGTACTCCCAGCACCCACTTCCTGACAAGGCCATGAAATGCATAGATGATCTTTTTGTCGGCCTACCCTCCAGCCACCTCAAAGCAGCATCCACATCCTATTGACCGTTATGTTTTCAGGACCCAGCATGATTCTTTGCCTATATTAAGTGCTTACTGCATATTTGTTAAATGACTAAACGAATGAATAGAGACTAGCAGCAGGAAATTAATTTCCAAATTACTTTCCCCAAAATCCCACATACATATTTAGACTAATTTCTTCAGTTATCCCCTCTGAGATGAACAGTCATTTATTATGCAGCAATCCAAAAGATAATCCAAAGGATCAATCAGATGAAAAAAAAATAGTAGATCCACTTAAAAGACTGATTTGAATTAGAAGAGACCACATGGGCTTTGGTTTAGGAAGACTCAGGATCAACATTATCAGAGTGCCCTCATCCTGTGGCATGGTGAGGCACGCAGATACCTCTTCTAGTTTCTCATTTTTATCTTATAGGGCTGTTTTGGTAAATGAATAGTATGGGTGCCTAGTGATTTGTGTGTGTGTGTGTGTGTGTGTGTGTATGTACACACACACACACATCCACACAGCCCTCACTCACTTAGAAATAATAAAATCTCTTATTTTCAAATCCTTCTTTCTTAGCTGCTTATTTGAAAAGGTGTCAAATTCTCTGAAGTTCAACCCCCCCCCCCCGTTCATGTTCTATATTTATCGAGTGACAACCTCATATCAGGCCTGTCCTAGGTGGTTTCTTGGATGATGGCCATCTTCTCATGCAGTTTTCACAACATTAGGGACAGACAGTTCCTCTGTTTTATGGTTGCTCCCCCATCCTCCCACATGTCAGTGTCCCATCAATGCAGGCAGTTTTTGAACCCAAGTCTTTCTTTTGATTCTGGCCTGATATTCTTCCTTCTTTAGTCCAGCTGCCTCAGTCTAGTAAGCAGAAAATTCCTCCAAAGCACGGTTTCAAAAACACATGCTTTTTCAACCATTTTTTCAAGTTACCTTGCTGAAATGACAGTTGCCTCACATGATAGAATAACACACCAAAGTACGAAAGCAAGGTACAGAAGACTTTTTTGAGGTCTGACTCCCTTGAGTTTCCACTCCCTCTTCCCTATACTAGAGCCCTGGGGTGTCTTCCCAATGCCCTGAGAATTGACTGAATAAACTCTCCACTGTGACTTCTCATCCAGCCCCAGGGATTGTTCTGCAACAAATAATAGATAACTCAGCAGCTCCAACTCCTCCTTCCTCTGCCCCCTTCCAGGGGAATTGGGAACTGGTGTCCCAGCAGGAGGAAGAGCTAAGTCTTGTGGGGTGGATGATGAACTGGGTATCTGGGTATCAGAGGAGCTAGCTCATTATTATTATTACTGAGAAGGAAAAGGGATATACTCAGGTGTTCTCCTGGGCTTCTCTATCTCACCTGCAACTCTGCTCCATTTCCTAAGAGTAAAGAGAGGAAGTCTCCACAGAGACCCTGAGAAAGTTGCAACACAAGCCAGGGGCTTAAGGACTATCAGCTTTGCCCTGCGTGTCCCTCTGGCCCAACCCAGCTGCTATATTTCCTTTCTTTGGAGAGAAAGCTGGCAGGTGACACTGGAAGTTATTTGTTCTCATTAGCTGGGCCTGCTGGTGTCTGATTATTTGGAACCCAAGTGCTCAGGGCGTAATGCTAGAGCATTATGTGCAGGGGCTCATTCAGAACATCATCTTGTGAGCCAGTTAGAGGTTGCAGCCACAAACTCCAAATGACTGTTCTATTGATGCATCTGGGAAGCTTAGCTGTTAAAAGCAGAAACAAAACCTAGGAAACTGTCTTTTTAGGCAGTATAAAGAAAAGAATTAGTACAACTGGCCTGCTTTTCTGCAAAGAGCCTGTGAGTCCTTTTGGGTAATAGAATCCCATATCTGTAGGTAAAGAAATAATGTATTAGTGTATCTTAGTTCAATTTTCAGGCAGAGCAAACAATTGTCCAAAGTACACGCCAGAAGGAACTGTGTCAGTCTGTAAGCCTGTGGGGCAACTACTTGGATTGCAAAGATATAACACATTTTCTCCTGTGGGCTGTTACAGTTAGGATATTACTCTATGTCTCCCATTAAATCATGGATAGAGCTATTTTATGTGACCACTGTTACACAGAATGGTTTAAGTGAGACCAGTTTGGAGGAAGAAAAGAAAATATTGATATTCGGCAGTTTTATGAGAATGTAAATCAAATCCAAAGTTTGACACTAAAAAAAAAAAAAAAAAAAAAGACTAAATTACTTATGGTGTGAATTAACTTGGGTACATTGTTCCTGATTCAATACATGACTAGTTCCATCCTGCTTTATTTTATTTGCCAACAATAGAACAGATATGTTGTTTGACTTTAAATTATGAGTTGGAATGAATGTTTAAAAGCTAAAACATTTTCACAGTAATGCTGTTGTCAATTTGTTTGAAGTGAACATTTTTTGTCACTGTTGTGGTCACATACGAATGAAAAGTTAAAGGAAGAATGGAGCATCAGGTTTGTTCCTGTACATGGTAATTCTTGGRTAGGCTTTTGAACTTGAGCTTCACCCAAATATTAATAAGAATATCTTTTCTCCAAAATCATAGTCAGTTTCAGTGAAGGCCTTTTTTGTTTCACTTAATGTAAACAAGGTAAATTTGGAAAAGCTACCGATGGGCAAAAACAAAACAAAAAGCCCTCTTGTGCATACAGTTTACTAATAAATCATGGATAATGGGACCCTCGTCATTTGCTGCTTGTGGTATGAATGCCTCCTAACCAAACGCTGATGACAGCCTGTGTYTTAATTTTCTCTGAGACTTGCTGGTAGCCAACTGTCATGAAGGATGTGCTATTTTGTCAATATTGAGTCAAAAAACAATTAAGCTCCATGAAAACATTCTTTCTGTAATCTGTTCTGCTACACTAGACAGGGAAACAAGCACAAATAGTTTAGCAACACCAAAAATAAATTTGTCACCAAGAAAAAAAAAAAAGCCAAGTGTGCTGCATAGTCCTGGGTTGATGTGAGGATTACCATGGCAATCACATGTCTGTCACGCTGTGTTAAAATTGGGTGTGGTGGTGCACGCCTGGGATTTAGGAGGCCAAGGCAGGAGAATGTCATCCCCATCCCTTTTTAGATTTGGTTCAAGGCCAGCCTGAGCAACTCAACAAGACCCTGTCTCAAAATAAAAAAAGAAAAAGTACCAGGGATGTAGTTCAGTGTTAAAGCACTCCTGGGTTCAATTCCTAGTACTCAAATTCTAAAAATTGTAATTATAATTTCCTGATTCCAGTTACCAGATACCACTATATCCCAGTCATCTAGCTTTGCAAGAAGATTCTTAGAATATTTTTTATTAAATAAATGAAGAAAGAAATTATTGTGAAAAAGTACCTTATATTTAGGATATTTAAATATTCTGACTTGTTTATTAATTCTGAATTAATAAATTCTTACAGTTTACATACTGGCCAAAAGAAAACACCACTTGAATACTTTGTCCACCTTAGTTTTACCAGCACCAGCTGTGTAGGTACATAGCTTTGTGGTTACTGTGAATTTTAGTAGGTGATTGGTTTCAAGTGTCTTGAAATCTGCATTCACATACACATATATATATAAATGATGAATAGCTATGTGAATAAAATTCCATATTTTTTTCTTTCAGTACCAGGGATTAAATTCTGGGGCGCTTAACACTGAGCCACATCCCCATCCCTTTTTAGATTTTATTTAGAGACAGGGTCTCACTAAGCTGCTTAGGGCCTTGCTAAGTTGCTGAGACTGGCTTAGAACTTGCAATCCTCCTGCCTCAGCCTCCAGAGATGCTGGGATTGCAGATGTGCACCACCACACCTGGGCAAATTTCAGATCTTTGAAATATCTGAGACATGTTACTGGTTTTACATGTGGCCTTTAGATCAAGCAGTGTCACCTGCTTTCTTAACTAGTTGCTGAAAAGGACTAGAATTGTCGAGATTTGTTGAGATTGATCAAGACTCACCTCCTTGGGATGGACCCAGCTTTCCTCGCTATCCTCAATTACCTGAAGACACTTAGGATTCTGTTAGTACATCAGAAAGAATTATGTTCAATTATGTTTATGGGAAGAAACTCAAAATAATAATGACTTTTATTTTTCTCTCACACAGAAGTTCAGAGAGAAACAATGTAGCCCCATAACATCATCAGGACCAGGCTTATCCAATTTTTCTACCCAAATACATTAAATATATTACTTCCACTGTCAAGGTAGCTAATGGAGCTCCAGCTGTCACTTTCATGTCCCAGACAGAGAAAGGAAAAAGTCCTCTTCTTTTCAGATTTCCTATAAGACCCTCCAAAGAGTCTGCTTTTATATTATTGGCCAAAGTGTTGTTACATGGTGACACATAGTTACAGGGAGACTGGGAAATGTAGTTGGATTTGCCCAGTACCCTATCCATGGGGTTTGTTACTGAGAAAGGAGGAAAACATGGGTATTAGAGGAAGGAAGTAACTACCCRGTTCTAATACAGGTGGCAACCACAAGGGATGGCGTAAGGGAGGATACAGAGAATCGAGATGTAGAGGAAACAATGTATTCACCCCAGATAAGGCCATTCAGCTTTCCCTCTTGCAAGTAATTTTAAGCAGCAAAACAGTGGGACAGCAAGGGAATAAGAAGGAGAAGCAAAGGACATTGTAAATCAGCAAAGTATTGCAACTGTGTACAGATAATTAGGATCATGTTTTGTGCACTGTGTCTTTTTTTTTTTTTTTGGCCTTCTTGGGGTACTTTACATATGAAAGGGTATTATTTTTTTTCCAAATATGAAAATGTGAAAGTCAAGGTATGAATGATCTTTCCAGCTGAACCATTTTAATTAGCAACAAGGTCACCTTCCGAAATAGCGAAATATGACCTGGAAGGATAGGCTTATTATGAAAAGAATCAGGTCCTTTTGGAAGTAGAGGGAAAAGATGGAAGTGAGGAGGTAATTAGCCACAGCGGGCTGTGGAGTATCTGTTGGTAAATTACAGTTCATGTGCATAAAGTCTCATTATTATAAACAGCAACTTTTTTTTCTTTTTTTTTTTTAAAGGTAGCCAACCAAGTTGTTCAAGCTCTGCTCACTCAAAAGGTAGGTCACTTTCTGCCTTGATTTTTTTTTTTTTTTCAAAATGCTTCTGTGAATAGAAATGCAACTCACATTGTCAAACCAAGAAATTGTGATTGATAGATGCAATACATCTCTATTTATTCACTCTGGTTAAATTCATGGGTGTTTTAGATGGCACGTGAAGTGACATCAATGAATGACCAATAGGATCGTAAAGTACTAACTCTGGGTAAAGTAATTGGAAGCCTTTTGAAAATGAAAGATTTTGATGTACCCAAAGGAGTAGCAGACTCTTTATATTTTTTTAACTTAGTAAAAATGAACTTAAATATGTGGGAAGATTCTTCCAATTTCTGTGAAATGAACGTCCACTTAGGGACAGCATTCAATGGGGCCTAAAAGTCAGCAGAGGCCTTTGAGTTCTGGGAAGTGACTTCACTTCTCTGAGCTTTAGTTCCTCTGCTGTAGGGCAGGGATGACAGTTCTGTACCCCACCCTGGGGTGCTGCATGATCCTACGGATGGACAGGGTAGAACAGTTCTTTTATGTGTCCATCTGTGGGGAACATGAATAAGGGGTAACCGCTATGCAGCAGGTCTCCTCCTGTTCCCCCACTGTTCTGCCTGCAGACAACATAAGACCATGTTAATGGAGCAGAGGGGGTCAACACAGGTCATCGTTTGCCCAAAATTGGGTGGTTTGGTGAATTTTACTGAGTGTTTCCCCATATCCCGCGGAGGCTAATTGCCAGGTCCCTCAGATTTTATTAGTGCTGATTCATCTTTCTGTGAAACAGAGACACTTCCTGTGCAGCAAGATATCTCCTATCCTGCAGCACTCTCAGGAGGATGTGACTCATGAGAACAACACAGTTGGTGCTCTCCCAATTTTTTTTTTAATTAAAAAGAATTTTATCAGCTATTGACAACTTCTCAGGCACATACCTAAATATTTCTTTGATTTTATATTGTATAGATATTGTGATGTACAGATATTGTGATAACATTTTTGCTAGGCCTCTTTCCTACCCTTCCTGTCGAAGTGTCATGTTTCCTTTTGCAAATAGTTTTGACTGCTTCAGGTTTTACTCTAATATTGCATAATTGAAGAGGTTTGACTACTTTTATAAGTAGAGTTAGACTTAGTTTCCACTGTGACAGATATCCAAAAGAGTGGTGGCTTAAATAAATTAAAATGTTATTTCTTTCTTACATGTAAATGCATACGTAGTCAGTACAGGGCTGGTAGATAGCTCTAAGTCCAGGATGTCTCTGGCTTCTATCTTGCTTTTCCATGGGAGATAGCCCCCATTTTTAAAGTCTCCTAATAGCTTAAAATAGCTGTTTTAGCCCCATCATCACACCCAAATTTCTTCCAGGAGAATTAAAGTCTAAAGTGTACGAATATAGTAAAGAGCTTTTATACCAGCTATCTTCTAACAGAAACTTCCAGAAGCTTTCGTAGTTCAATGTCCATAATCTCTGAACAGGTCTTAGCCACTAAGCCACACCTAAGGAGGCTGGAGAAGGTGCATCAGATCAGGAGGGCACCTGACCATTTCTGCCACAACATATTTGAATGTCTTTTTTCTTTCAAAGGCTTTATCCCTATTTTCCTCCTGTTGAAAATTATGTTCATTGTATTACAAAATTAAGGAATGGAGATATGTTAGTTAGCTTCACTGTGACCGAAATACCTGACAAGAACAAATAAGAAGGACAAGTTTATTTTGGGCTCATGGTTTCAGACATTCAGTCCATGGTCAGCATAAAATAGCTGCTTTAGCTCCAGTTATCACACCCACATTTCTGTCAGGAGAATAAAAGTTTGAGGAGTACAAAGATAGTGAAGAGCTTATTTATACCAACTATCTTTTAAAGGAGACTTCCAGAAGCTTTTTATAGGCAGAACCATCATGGTGGAAGGGCGTAGCAGAAGAAAGCTGTTCCAATCATGGCAGCCAGGAAGCAGAGAGACAGAGACAGAGACAGAGATTGCTCAAGGAGTTAGGGACAAGATATAATCCCCAAAGTAAAATCCCAGTGACCCATTTCCTCCGGCCACACCCTACCTGCCTGCAGTCCCACCCAGTAGTCCATTTAAATGATTAATCCACCAAATGGATTAAGCCAGGAGGTGATGGTCCTCATAATCTAATCATTTCACCTCTGACATTCCTATGTTATCTAACACATGAGTTTTTCAGGGGACACCTCATATCCAAACCATAACAGAAGAGCTCACTGTTGAAGCTCTGTGTACAGCTGATGGAAGACTTTCCATGCCTGTCTCTTTAATGATACCTTCGGAAAGAGACAAGGAAGTTGTCTTGTACAGTAAAAAGGAAAATGGGACCCTTCAGGTCAGCCACAAAAAAAGTAGCTACAAATCCAGGTAATAACTAGTAAACAGGTAAATCTACTTTGGTACAGTTAAGCAGTACGACACAGAAAGATGTGCCACTGTGAGATAGCATACCTCAGGGACATCACAAGGCAGGGAGAGATGCCGGGGCTTTTGGAGATTCCAAAAGAATCATGTTCTGCTGAAATGTGTGCCTCCTGGTTTTTATAGGGACTGTAAAAATTGCTGCCAAAAAAAAAAAAAGACAAAAATTTTCTTATTTAATTAAGAGCACAATATAGGAAATAAAATGCATTCCAAATGCAGATGAGAAAACTAATTCTAATGCAGATGTAGTATGCACAGAGTAAAAGTAGAAATTTTGAGTGATTTATCCAAATTGCACATATGCACAAAAATCTTTGATGTGAAATAATAGGCAAACTGTACTCTTTTAGAATGGATCATTTCCTGTGATACACAGGCAAGCCTGCCCTGGCTTCAGCTCTCCTACAGGAAAATGAGAAAGTATTTTTCACGGCGTTATCATGAATTTTTCTGGACCACCATCCTGAATAACAGAGTCCACCAATATTGATGGAGGAAAAAGCCATTTTATTCCCGTTCACTTATTTTTTGTTATATGTACATACAATGTTCTGTTCAAATAATTCAGTTTAATCTCAAATACCTGTGGATTCTTCAGGCACAGTGGCACACGCTTATTATCCCAGCAACTCAGGAGGCTAAGGCAGGAAGATCACAGGTTCAAGGCCAGCCTCAGCAATGTAGCAAGAACCTGTCTCAAAATAAAACATAGGAAAGGCTGGAAATGTTGTTCAGTAGTTAAATGCCCCTGGGTTCATTCCCCAGTACCAAAGAAAAAGGAAAAACAAACAAACAAAAAAAACCTGTGGATTTCCTCCAAAGAACTAACTGTTCCCCTTTCAATCAATAACAGTAAACTGACAGTATAAAGCCCAGTTCAGTTTCATTTATGTCTCTAAATCATGGGTCCAGGTCTACAAGTGACAGTGAAATCAATAATCTAAGCTAAACTTCTGTTTTCATCTGAAATATACTTTATCATCATTAAGTCGGTTACATTTGCTGAAAATGTAACTCCTAGGTTCTTCAATGTTTTATTGCTATTAACATCAGACTTGGAAGAAAAGCATTTTCCCCACAATTAATTTTCCTCCAAATCAACAATCTCATCTTTATCTGCTTGTTAGTAAAGTAACTAAATATTTATATGATGTTTTCTCTTCACCCATTATAGAATCAGGCTAGTGTGTGATACAATCAAGCTGTGCCGTTATTCAGATGAAAGCCGAACAATTCTGTAGCTTTAAAGAACTCCAGCATCCTGTATATTTCCCTTGAGGGAAGGGGCAGTTGGACAATGGTCTATGTAAACTCTGGTCCCTAAAGAGGGTCTCTTCATATTTATTGGGCTAGTAGTCATATCCAATATCCTCCATGGAGCACTTAAAATAAATCTATTTTAAGTCATTTTGTTCTCACTGCAACCCTGTGAGGCAGGAATAAGAAAAAAAATTTTCTCAGTGTGCCAGTTACTACAGAGTGTCAGAGTCCATACACCCTCTCATCCACTGCACCATTCTGCCTCCATGATCCCATTCACCAGTTTACTGTTTTTCCCTACCATAGGTCAACAGGGAAGGAAGGGATGCAATGGAAATCAACACCTGGATTGAAATCCAGTGGTTAGTTATGAACACAGAGAATAACAAGTCCATAATCCCATATGCCACAGCACTCACTATGTCCTCTGCATTGTCCCGATTTAGTCACACATTTGTTCAAGAGTCAAGGCCAGCCTCAGCAACGTAGCAAGAACCTGGAAATGTTCAGTAGTTAAATGTCCCTGGGTTCATTCCCCAGTACCAAAGAAAAAGGAAAACATAATACCTTTCAGGTATCTGGTATTGAGGTCCTTGGTTGGTCTAAGGTATGAGCAGCCTTTTCCAGAATGGCATTTCATTTTACAGAAGCCTTAGCATATTTGGCAGAGTGGGAGGTATCAATGACATCTCCTTGGGATGTGACAAGAAGAGGCTGGTAGACTTGGTGGCCATTAAGATTCAGGAAACTAGCTGGATGCAGGAGTGCAGGCCTGTAGTCCTACCTAGCTATTCAGGAAGCTGAGGCAGGAGGATCCTAAGTTAGCGAGGTGCTGTCTCAAATTTTTCAAAAGGGTTGAGTGTGTAGCACAGAGCACCTGCCTATCATCATGCGAGAGGCTCTGGGTTCAATCCCCACTGCCAAAAAAAAAAAAAAAAAAAGAGAGAGAACTAGAGAACTAAGAGGTTGACACTTGACAAGCCATCCATGAAGTCAGTGAGACATCCCATCTCTTGAAAAGCCCAGTTGTATGCTGTGCCTTGGTTTATCGATGTGAAAGCTGAAGCCTATTTAGAATGATTTACTCTATCAAGGTCATGTGTGTAACAAGGAGCAGAGCCCAGGCCCTCTAATCCCCATGCATCCCCAATGTGGCATATTCCCATGATGGGCATTGCCTTTGAATAGGATACTGTTGTAATACCTTACCTGATAAAGCCGGACTTAAATAGTTTTCAACAAGACTTTTATGAGAAAATCAACACATTTCCTCTTTCTAAGCCATTAGCATTTTCTTTCTTTTTAAATTCTGAACTTATTAGGTAGAAGTGTAATGCATGGTAGTGGAATTCACTGTGAAATATTCTTACATGCACATAAGCATTTTTTAAAATTGACTTTAGCCTTGTGCTGGTAAAGGTCTTACTCCTCGTGTGCATAAAGTAACTACACTCCCACAGGCCTGTATAACAGTGGATCCAGAATCTTCTTTCAGCCCAGGTGCAGGTGAAACTTACCTGGATTACAATGTCATTGCAATTGCATTGCCTGTACTTGGGTGAAATTGTGGTTTGGGACCATTAAGATGACAGGGGCCCTTTACATTAGTCTATCATGTTGCTCCCTTCAAGGTCAGCTATAGTCCTTTTGTCTCTATTTCTGTTTGATAGTGACATGTGCATTGAGAAGAGAACAGGCTTGGCTACTTTCTCAAACCCAGAGACCATTACATTGATCTTAAACATAGTGAAGTCTTTGAAGTTATTTCCACACAATAAAATTAACCATCACACTCCCTTTTTATATCAGAAGAGACAGAAGAGATAAGAAGGGATAGCCTTATATTTTTAGGTAAGTTCTACCTGTCGATGTCTGAGATATAGTTAAGGAATGAGCAGGAAAAAAAACAACATGTTGTGAGAGGGGACAGATGGTGCAGCCTCCGCTTACAGTCATGATCCCAGACTGTGACATCCAAACAGAGGAGAGTTGTTTGATTTCTAAAGCTTTACTGGGGAGGCTATTTTAGGTCTTGTCTCTGGAAGTGACAGGGTCAGAAGAGTTGCTCCTGTACCCAGTCTAAATGTGTCGTCTGCTCCTTTATGTCATTGGATTCCTATTGTGAGCACAGAGGAAGCAAAGGCAGCCAGCTGCCACCCTCTGTCCAGGTGCCACAATGGCAGTCAGAGGTGCTTTTCTCTCTCTGTCCGCTCTGATAGTGCCTATGTGTATGCACATAAGCATATGTGTGTGCTTTTGTTGAGGCTGGGATGTAATGGGATAGTGACGATCTGGCATCCGTGACTATCTGCAGCATAAAGGAACATAGTAAGAATGTTTAAAACAATACAAACATTTTTTTTTTTCCAGTCTGCAAATTTTCAGACCAGCTCAATTTGTTTCTCGGTGATGTAAGACCAGTATCACATTTCCTTTGTCCCCTCTGCCATATGCTGCGCTGGATGAGCAAAGAGTGGTAAACTGAGAGTTCTCAGAATGGATAGACTGTGTTCCCACTAATGAACTACAGAACTACTATGCTTCGAGTTGAATGAACTACTTTGCCTTAAGTTTACTATTAACGGCTATTGAAATCTGGCTACTTATATAAAAATTCTCTGTAGAGCATGTGGATATTTTCTTTTCATTATTTTACTCATTTGAGGACTCTTCTGAGTTTTTCTCAGCTTTACTGCTGAAAATTGCAAGTGCTACTGTTTTCAGGTCCCCTTTTTTCCTTGCAAATCCACACTTGAATGCTTCTGTTTCCATATCACCACCTACAAATGAAAATGACTGTGTTTTCCTAGCCAATGGGTACTATTAATATTTATCTACCCCACAGTCAAGTTTTATTAWTTGCTTAATTAGTAATAGTGAAAACAATTAGTGTTATACGCATGCTAAGAACAAAAATTAGCATAAGTGAAACACAGAGGCTGAATTCTAAAGAAACAAGCAAACCTGGCCTTGTGACTTGAGCAGGAAGTAGGTCCTGACAATGGCCTCTGACAAAGGAATGAGTACCCCTGAGTACAAATGCTCAGTCCTGCTTCTCCCCTTCTGGACCTTGTTCCCAGGTGCATCATCCAAACATGATATCAATTTTCTGTCCTCTACATTCTAACAACAAATCAATTGAAAACATCCTATGCATGAACTTCACCCATTTAGCTAAAAGGGGGAAGAGAATATAAACTGTGCAGTGAGCCACACATTGGACTGTTTCTTTGCCCCTTTTAAGTAGAATTAACCCTRCAGGGTATGATGGAGTGTGCTCACATACAATTTCAGCAATTAGATCTCTCTAGCCTTACAATTAGGTTGATACAAGGTAGTGGATCAGGCCCACTCACCTCTGTGACCACCATCAGGCCCTGGGTATCAGACCTGTCACCTGGTGCTTTCCCTTCCTTGCAAGAGCCTTAACTAAGGCCTGTCACTGCCCATGGCAGAATACAGACATCCACAAACTAGAAGTGTTGAGAAACTTGAACTCTATTTATCATCATGCCTATCACTGGAGAATAGAACCGCCATTGTCATTGCTTCTAGCAAAGTAATTACAAACATTTATTAAGCTCCTACTATATATGGTGCTGTGCTAGACGATGGAATGAAAAGAGTGTTAAGAGCAATATGCTTGTGTGGTTGTTTATTTTGTATCTTGTGCTGGCCTGCTGAAGGAAAGGTCATTTAATTGACAAGAGAAGTCTACACACACAAAAAATGGGATTAATACATAAGTATTATATGCTAAATATCACAGAGGAGACATGGGACTTATGGGAATTCAGAAAAGGGAGCAGTTTTGGGGGGATACCATATGAAGTGTCAGAGGGGAAGAAGTTGGAAGTGGGCTTCAATCAGCTGGCCAAATATGGTCTGAAAGAAGGAGATGAGAAGAGAAATTGATGGCAGATAGGAGAGGATAGCAGGAATGCACAGCGCTTTCAGGAACCACAAGCAGACCCATGTTCTCTGCTCCAAAAGAGCAGAATACATTTTTTTAAAACATTAGGAAATAGTAAAAAATTAAGTCTGAAATGTAGCAAAGGATAAGCTTTTGAAGGCATTATTCTACTGAGTCTTGAACCTCATAGGGAAGGTGCAGACAATTAAGCCCACAAATACCTTTATCACAGATGCCATAGGAAGGCAGTTCCCTGGTGGGGTTCCTAAAGCTCCCCAGTGTCACCTCCCTACCTGTGAACTGGGGAATAAACTATTCAAAAGAGCTACTCTAGCTCCTCTGAAAAGTTGCCCCGGTGGGCTGACTGTATTTCTTCTCTGGCACTGAGACCCAAATGCCCCCAAAAGATTTGGAAATCCACTGGCTGGACAAATTGTAAGTGCTTTTTAAAAGCCTTCACTTCAGAGCTACCCCTTTCCCACTAAATGCTTCGCTGACTCTATTAGCCAAGGCGCCAAGCATCGCAACTCATTTCCACAAATGACATCGAAAGACTCCATCAAAAGTGATAGTTTCTTTAGTTCATCAAATCTCTATTCATTGTGAAAACATTGTTGTCCTTGTGATTTGTGCTTTGTGATTGCTTTCATGAAGACAGTGAAAAGGCAGAATATATAGGTGGAAATTTAAATTGACTTTATATCGCTAAGATTTACCGTATTCAAAAATAGCATGCTACATTAATGCACTTCTGATTCAAGGTGCTTTTTTTTTTTAAATTGACCTTCTCTGCACATAATAATTCCACCAGACAATGRCCTGTGGAAGAAAATGTTGTTTGTGATTTATTTGGGGGGACTTCGAAGAATAAAAATCTTATTTTTTTACTAATGTGTCTGAAATGTATAAAATATGATTATAATATGCAAAGATGTCTTTCCATTATAGACATTTTTTCCCYTTTCCAATGTGTTTGTTGTAGGATCTAAGGGAGGAGTGTGTAAAGTTGAAAACAAGAGTGTTTGATTTGGAACAACAGAACCGAACACTAAGCATCCTATTCCAACAGCGAGTCCGACCAACTTCTGATCTGCTCCTGCAGGTATGTGTTTACATGGAAAACAGTCTTTGCTACTGAAATTCTATTGATAGGAAGTTACTTAATTTCAAAAATCACCAGCATCTCTARAGGCAAGGCATAGTGTACCAAAATTCCAATCCTTCCCTGTCTCCGGAGATGTCATTAAAGTTGAAAATCTTTTAGATTCTTGACTTTTTTGAAAGCTACATGCAGATAAAGAAATGCACCAACAAAGAATACACAGGTAAAAGGGACAATCCAAGGGTGTCCTCCAGTAAACTAAGTGGAACCAGGGGATGAATTTAGGAAATAATTGATAGCTTTGGGGACTAGTATGAGGAACCATGCATTCCATGATAAGCAAGAGAGAGTTTTATGTAATGACAAAGCACATTTCTGTATTTCCAACTCTCCATAACAAAAAATACAACTGGGATTTGTTTTTCTATAATCGCTCTCTCTCTCTCTCTCTAGAGTCCCTCTTCACATCACTGAACTTCCTGGATTCTATCTCAGTATTTTTGCAGGTCTTTTAGTTACTCTAACTGAACTCTTTCTTCATTCTCCTCCATAACATGGAAAGTTGAGGAGAGTCAAGCCACTTGAATCCTTTTGAAGTTGTCCCTGACAAAGCACTGAGGAATACACTCCATGGCCAGGAAACACATGAATTGGTAGAGGGGGCTTGCAGGGCCAAGCTCTGCTGTTTCCCATCTTTCTGATCCTATTATTGTGCACATTTGCTCAAACAAGTCCCTCTGAGCTTTTCTCAGAGCTGTTCTGGACTCAGCTGTGAGAGGGTGCACTCAGGCTTCACAGGCGCCTTGTGCAATTCACCAAGGGCAACCCGCAGCCGCTTGGTCAGGTGGCCAAAAGGAAAGCCCTTCTGCACCCTCTGATCATCTAGACTACACCGTCCAGCACTGGAACCAATAGCCTTGTAGTGCTATTTAAATTCTTCCTTATGAAATTGACATGAAATTAACTCTATGTTCATATGTCAAACTAGCTACAGTCCAGATATTCAAATTGGACAGTACATGAGGAGAATATTTTCATCATCGTAGAAAGCACTCCTGGATAGTACTTTTCTAAATGGCCCAGACTTTGTAACTAATTTACCCTCCGAATTTTGGCATGAACATCTTACGACTCCTCAGAGAAATAATGGGAAATTGCGATTCATTTCAGAGAAAGAAAGATGTTTGGTAAAGCTGAATATCAAAATGTAATTTGCCCCCCCCAAATTAAAATAAAACAGCTCTCTGAATTACAAAATAGATCTCATCTCTTAAATTAATTTCCTCTCTGCTTTATCTGTGAGAGCATAATTCATAATTTATGACTCAAAAATTATGGTGGGGGAGAGAGGGAAGTCATTTATCTCTGTTCTATTTCCTGGTCCCAATCACAATAAATGTTTGTCATAAGGGATCTTGCATTTGTAAAAAGTCATGTTTCTTTTGCAATCTCATAATCAAGATCCAATATTATAATTACTTTTAACAGCTGTTGCATCTTCACAAATTTTTTCTGTTTCGCCTGTTTTAACTTAAGGCTTTTCCGGAATATTGTTTAAGGATCTGCAGTCCCTACTTATGAATCATGAATAGTTGATGTGCATAGTAAACACATGTGCTGTAGATGTTTAAGCTTTTTAATTGGCTGTCAGGAATTTCTTTAATCCATGTTCAAATGGCAGAGGATGATGTATATCCTTGCAACAGAACTCAGTGTTTATCGATTGGGTATTTTCTGTCAACAAACTTTGTACTCTTCTTTAAATAGTTTTCACTCTGAGGAGCCATCCTGGTTTAAAGAATATTTATCATAGATAGGCTGTTAACAGTTACGTGAAGAAGAATGATAGAAAGTGGGATGCCTGCCCTCAAACACAAAGCCAGGTTCATCATGGAGATAGGTGAGAGAGAGGAGACTAACCTGAAAATTAAAACCTTTACATTGGTAATGAATTTCTGTATTGATTTCATTTCCAAAATGATATCTCTAGGAGAATGAGTGATAAATTAAATTAAGAAGAACCCCCCTCCAGGCATGGTGGTGCATACCTGTAATCCCAGCAACTCTGAAGGCTGAGGCAGGAGGATTGCACACGAAAGGCCAGCCTCAGCAACATAGTGAGGCCCTAAACAGCTTAGCGAGACCCTATCTCAAAATAAAAGGGACTGGGGATCCCTCTATTAAAATCACAATTTGAGCTTAGTTCTAAAGACTTAATAAGCCAGTACAGCAAATAAAATAATAAAGTCATATTCTTACAGGGACTGGGGTCTCTAATTGATCTTATACTGAATCTACTTAGATTAACCAATACTCAACATTCCCTCTTACAAATCATACTGAACCATACCTTCAACTTAATGAATGCTGGCAAATTAATGAAAAGCTCTCTACTTAATCATATTTACTTCTCTTACCAATTGGCTTGAATGCCCAATAAGAATGAGTTATGTTTGTATCTCAATTTGTTTATGTGAGGAATACTTGTCATGGTAAACATGTAATTAAGAAATTAATAATTAATTTCATACACAGTATATAAACCAATGAACTATGATGCAAAATGAGAATTGTTTCTAAAAAAACAAAGCCAAATATTTCAAAAATATTTAAAGGCAAGTTACTAAAAAATCAGTGTTCGTGATCAAAATAAATACAAGTATCTGCCTGTCCAAATTTGTTGGATCATACTAAATATAGAGTGATTCTGCATGCAAACTTCTCTTCGGATGGTTTTAATGGAAACTCTGATAATAGGATCTCTAGGCAAAGAAGTAGCCTTGGCCTTACCAAAAATGTGATTGAAATGCATAGTGCTTACCACATGTCAGTGCTGTTCTTCAACACTTACAGCATTTGCTAATTTAATTTCTTACAGTCCCACAAGGTAGGACCCTACCTTTGCATTCACTATGGAGATGGGGACACAGAGAAAGGCTTAGTTACACAGGTGGTATTGCCAGAGTTAGGATTTAAATCTGGAAATCTCATGCAGTCAAGTCCATTCCTTCTTGACACTCACCTCCATGTTCCCTCTGTGTGGAACATGAATGAGCAAGAGGACCATTTTGATGACTTCCTGCTGTAAGTGACATTTTGATAAACAGAGTGATTGGTCCACCTGTGACCAGGTCGGATTGAAAGGCCTTCTGCAGTGCAATCACCATGCAGAGCCTGCTGTATTCACATATTTCTGAAATGTTCCTGGTCTGTGGCATCTAACATTTCCCCTCACCTATGTGTTCTGCCTTTGTCTTATTTTGGACACTGGGTTATCGTTGTCCTGATAGGATATTATTCTCATATTTTAATACTAAGACAGTATTTTTTTTTGGTCTTTCCTTTTTGATCTGATATTTCAAAGGGTCCTACACCCACATCCATAGGCCAAGATAGAAAGAAAAGAATGTTATAGATCATTTACATAAGCCGTGGAGTGTCTCGCAGCTTAGAACCAAGGTGCAAAAATATACTGTCACTTCTTAGAGTACTTTTTTTTCTTTTTGCTAGTGTTTTGTTTTATATTATATTTCAAATGAAATGAGAGAGTTTTTAAATCCTATTCATTTCTCTCCTCCTCTAAATCATTATTTTCAGAGTGTAAACCTGTCCATGAGTCTGATTTGGCAGGACACCACACACTCAGCCCTCCACCTTTTCATAAACAGTACATCCCYATCTCTGAAATCCATCCTGTGCTGCCCTGTTGGGGATCTTTTAGGGTTATGGCGGTCCTCTCTGAACTTTCCCCCAGCTGGAGGTCATGCAGTATTGGTAGTCCATGCCACATAGTCCATGGCCTGTGTGGGATTATGGGATCCTGGCCTCTCGTGACAAGGACAGTCATCCAATGCAACTTAAGGAATTGGAGGTTTCTTGATTGCTTTTCATTTCAACCTGGTAGTAATATGTTTGTAGACCTAGGCTGAGCGTGGCTTTTCTTCATTGTCCATAATACATGCTCAGTGTATTCTTGGCTTAATACTTATATGAATTTTTTTTTCTGGAAAATTGGGAGGGGGTTCTAATCCCAATAAGATTATACTTTTCTTGGAGAGAATACCATATGTCCACTTATATGTATCTATGCCAATACCCTGCACCTGGGAGCCCAATTCATAATGTTTAAATTATTTTATTCTAATACACACAGGCATTTATACTCTTTGCTGTTGCCACTGTGTAATGAACATAACCACACAGGACTATCTGGATCTGAACAGTCAAGTGAATGGCCAACATGGAGATACCTTTTCTAGGATAATGATCACTCAGAGAAATTGGAAAATGTTAGTCATTATACAGTTTTTGGTGTATGTATTTTGTTCAGAAAAGTCTATATATTTGCCTTTTGGGTATTTTCAAATATACACGGTTGAAGTAAGATAAGAGGAAATCATTAAGAGAGCTTTATGATAATTTGGTTTAAGCAGTAGAAGAGAGGCAGGGGACTGAAAGAGAAGATAAAGGTTGGCTCAGTGATTCGTGAGTTCTGACAATGGAGGCTTTTCATTCTGATCCACCAGGTCCTCTCTTGAGCCATAAGCTAAGAAGGAGTCAAGAGATGAGGCAAGAAAATCCACACAAGTTTAGAGCATCTGCCTGGCTTCTCACCCTGCTAGGATATATGCTTGCTTTATGAGTTTCTTGAATTGATAAACTCTGCCCCTCACCTGCTCGTGTGGCCAACCTGAGAGGTGCCAGCCCTGCCCTGCAAATGTGATATCTAATTTTAAAAGACCCTTGGAGTGACAGGAATAGCAGCTCTGTGATGCTTCAGGGATGCTGAGGAACACCAGGGTCCAGATGGCAGAATATCCTCGGGCAGTGAATCTGCCATGCTGCGTCATCAGAGGGCTTTGGTGGCTTCATTATGGGCCATCGGTCAGACGTGAAAACATATGGAGAATGTGCAGCAGGGATTCTGTCTCACACACAAAGCACTGGACAGGATATTAACTTGTCAGAGGTGCAGAAAGTGGCCTCTCTGAAAGGTAAGG